TCTCGACATTACACTCATCGAGACCTTTCATTTGAGTACCCACATGCATTTTTGATATATTTTTCATATATACATATATATAATATATATAAATATATAAAAAATTGATATGGCTACTCAAATGAAAGGTCTCAATGAGTGTAACATTAATATGAGCTTATATCTTTAAAAATGTCAATAGTTCACAAGATACAAGGTCATTTCTTAATTATGTATCTAGAGATAGAGCATTTTCGAATGCAACCTAAATGTATATCATCATAAAAGGACTATCGACGAGAATGATATGAAACCTTGAAAAGGCACAAATACAAGTCATGTCCTTTGCAATGACACTTAATTTCACTAAAAAAATCGATTTCGAAAATTGTTCTTATTCTTTTAATACTATAGATTATTATTATTATTGTTCAATTATTATAGTTGTTTCAACTATTATTGCTTGTCACATGAATCTTCCACAGGAATGTATCATGTGGCAGCCGCTATTTTTTTTTCCGCGTAAAATTCAAACCTATATATTGTGGGAACCATTCCTATACTATTATGGGAATGGTTCCTATAAATTATGGAAACTATTCCTATAATAGTATAGGAATGATTTCTATAGCATTATGGGAACCATTCCCATAATATTATAGGAAAAGTTCCCATAATATTATGGGATTAGTTCCCATAACGATATAGGAATAGTTTCTATAATAGTATAGGAATTTTTTCTATAGCATTATGGGAACCATTCCCATAATGGTATAGGAATAGTTCCCATAATTTTCTTTCCGTGTACCCTAATAATTTTTTTCCCCCCAGAATACCAAACATTTTTATCCAAGATTTTTTATATCCAATATTCGTTTCTAAATATAAAAAAACTGGTATTTTTCGTCTGAGAATACCTAAATTTTTTCTGGAGCTAAAACTCTATGCTGCGTTACCATAGCAACCGCAGCGGTGGCGCCAACAATTCTCTGATTTCCCTCCAATTTCAAAGTCCTGGCGTGTTTGTTTACATCATTGAAAAGTTGTGCTAATTAATTATTTATTGAAAAATTACCTAGCTGTATTACAATTGATATTAAAATTTGGATGGATCCTTGGGTACCATCCAAGGGAAAAAGTTGCTCGAATGGGATTTACCGTCTCTGCAAAAAATCTTTCAAGGTAATTGTTTTTTTTTAAATCAATCTTTTTAAGAGTTATTCATTATGCAAATTTGATTCAATAAAATAAAAATAGAAATCAAGCCGTCGAAAGTAATTAAAAATTCAATTTTTCAACAATTTTATTAATAATTATAATTAATTTAATTTACTTAAATTGAATTATTATAATTAATTTAATTTTCTTAAATTTATTGATTATTACTTCAATTTTTTTCATTTAATTATAATTGATAAATTAATAATTATTTTTTCCCCTCCAGGCGTAAAGCGTCAACTTTAGCCCCGCTGCGCTAAACGAAGTTGCAACTTTCCGCCTTCGTCGGGGAAAAAAATAGTATACACTCTTCAGGAAATAAAAAAGAAAGCCTCAGATCACATGTTTGTTGACCTCGGCTTCGCCTCGGCCAACAATTATAAGTGATCTGAGACATTTCTTACTTTACTTCCCTAAGAGTGTAATATGCTATAATTTATTAATTATAATAAATAAGGTCCACCCTATCATAAACATATCATATGCATCTGTGTCAAATGAGATTAAGTCAGCCATATTTTTATTTTGGTATTTTGCTGAAGAAGAAACCGAGTTTTTTAAAAATCACTATACTTTTTAGTGAAGGAAAAGAACTTTGGTATTCTTCACACAGGTATACCAGTTCCTTTACTGGAAGAAAAAATTTCCTAGGTGGAAAATAGTAATTACACATCCTAGGGCAGTAAAGTAAGAAATGTCTCAGATCACATGTAATTGTTGTCGATCCGAGGCGAAGCTGAGGTCAATAAACATGTGATCTGAGACATTTCTTAATCTCCTGCCCTAGGTGTGTAATATACTATTTTTTCAGTGTATTGAGAAGTTTTTTTCTGAGCATAAGAAATATTGTGAATGGCAAATAGCATATTATGCACCGAGGGAGGAAAGTAGGATATACCAACCCGCGTGTAAAATTGTTTTCCGAACCGAAGGCGAAGAGGTGACAAACATGCCAATTGGAATATCCTACTTTCCTCGATGGCGCGTACACTATTTTTCATCATATTTGTAACCAAAATTTTATGCTCTTATTTTTGTGACAAGAAAGTGCGACTTTTACCTTATGCAATAACATATCAACACTGCTATTCTAATACCTCGTATCCCACAAAATTTGACATATTAACTTTTTTTAAAAAAATAGAATCACGTGCGTAATATTGTTGTACAACATTATTCTGCAAGTCCTATTAAAAATTCAACGATCAAATAGTTTAATAACTATTGTTAAATAAATATTTTCATCCGTCGAATCCCATTTAATCAATCCCAGTTAGCGCAAGTGAAACGAAGTTTGCGTAAACCTGCGGCCGGAATTTGACGTAAAGTTTACGCTAACAGTAGAGCAACAGTTGTACTTATAACAGTTGACGTGAAGTTAACGTTAACTTTCTGCAACTTCGAGTTAATTTTGAGCGAACCTTTCGGAAAATTCCGGCAGTAGATTTACGCTAACTTGATGCGTGTTAAAGTAAAGTTCTGGGAAACTGTTGCAAATGCAGAGGTTGACGCGAAGTTAACGTAAAGTTGGCGTAAACCATTGAATATCGACTTAGTTGATGGTCAACCCGCGCTAACTGGGTGGGATACGATGTATTAGAATGGCAGTATCGATATTCCAACAAATGAACAGCTTGAAATTTGCACTAACTACAAACACACACATACACAAACACAAATACGCACACATACGCCGACACACTACCGTCATCATAGGGATAGTCAGAATAGCTTCTTAGAACTTCAAAACGTGGAGATTTGATGAGACCTCAATTTTCGAGAGTCGGGGTGAAACCGATAACTTCCCTATTTCTGAAAATCATTAATTTTTATGGTGGAAAATTGAAATATTCGCATTTTATTAAATTTTATAGTCTATTAATCATGAGTTTTGAATATAAATTGTCAAATTTTTGTTTTATAGGAGTTGTGTCTGGGTGATGCAGTTGGTGAGACAAAGTACACAAATGACAATTTTTTAGATTTCGTCGACGTATATTGCCAAGAAAAATTTTCTCCGCTTCTATATTCTACAAATGATCTAAAAACGGAAGAATTTGATCAATTCTCACAAAACGGAAAACAAGAAATTATTCATGATCAATGCAACTCCAACCTCAACTTCATCAGTGAACATCCATATATTTTTGTTGTGAATCAGTCTGAAAATATTCTATCGAATAAAAAATCAAAAATACAAATAATGCATGATTATGTAAGCTTAGGTCAAGACAAACCTTTTGTAACTATTCAGCAAGACGCGTCTTGTGTAATGGATGAAACTGATTCCTTACCTAAGTTTAATTTAGCAAAGAGAGAATATCGACATCATAACATAGTAGAAGAAAGATCAATCAATTGCAAAGACTTCTCTAAATTAAATTCGTCATACTTTCAACAAAGCTATACAACTAAAAAAGATGAAAATTTCCACAAAAAACTAATTTCAATGATTAACGATAACGAAATTGAAAAATTAAGTGGGGAAATGTACAGTTTAGAATATTATAGATCATGCAATAAATTATTGTCAATGAAATCGAGACCTTTGGCTAATTTACGACAAACCAATGAAGATGCCGAAAGAAATCATAAAGCATTAGTAGATTTAAATAAAAAATGCCGAAGTATAATACGAAAATTTAAGAATGGTTTATTTACAATAGATACTATATTCAAATGGAATGAGTTACGTTCTAAAGATGGTCCTATGAGTTGCTCCATATGTCGATGTAATAAATTTTTTAAGCGACCTGGGTCGATTGCGAATCATATATATAGAGTACATGAACGGATACTTCGGGAAGCATTAGAACGCGGTGAACTTCATAAAATATTGGAGAAAAATCAAAAACAGACAGGCGATTGGTCTATTGAAAATGATCAACACCTTACAATACCATGTGAAGAGTTAAGCCAGCAAAACTACTGCACAGTTATGAATTCAATGGGTTTTAAACTACTTCATGAAAGTTCTCCCTTCTTGAACAGCTGTAACTCATCACTCGATAATTATGATTCATCGTACTCTATGACTGAACAAAAACAGAACTTAGATTCAAACGTAGAGAAGTATGAATTAGAACAGGCACTTAAAACTCTAAAACAAGATTTCGATAAGTTTTAAAAATTCTCTGCTCTCACACAAATTTTCATCAGCAAGAAAAATAATTCGAGCATGAAAGAAAGTACTTTTATTGCTGACAGAAGAATTCAAGAAAAAGACATCATCTTTAATTTTGTAACGGGAGTGTAAGCTTCCGTCCAATTGGTCACCCCTTTCGTCTCCTGAAAAGGGTGCCACTGGAATTTTATACATGGTGTCTTAGAAACCGGAGGAGTATGAGAAGAAAGATCAAGGTCGTGAGAAGTTCAGGCGGCTATAAATAATACTGGGAAAAAAGATCAATTTATATTCAATTGTTTATTTAAAATTAATTAAATTGTCAAATCGACAGATTAAATTTAACAATAATTCCCTTAAAATTATGTTAACAATTAATTACGTGAGAACCTCTCCACTAATACGCAGGCAACTTGCCAGATAATCTTACAAATAAATATCGGCCAATATACTTAATTTCTTATCCACAGATTCGGTAGAATCTGGCGCCAAGTTCCGTTCAAATCCGTTGTCAATGGAGCGCCAGCCTACCGACTGTGTTTACTGTAAGCAGAACGGTATTTTGAGGTTGCTCTATAGCCTACGAATACCGTAAAACGGAATTACCCCCCTAAACGGGTAAAAAAAAAAAACAAACACACACACACACACACACACACACACACATACACATACATACAGACATAGTGACACCCTCGCGGGAATAGTCAGGGAAGCTTCCTAGGACCTCAAAACGTCGAGATCTGATGAAAACTCGATTTTCGAAAAACGGGGTAAAACCAATAACTTGCCGATTCTTTAAAATTTTCAACTTTCTTAACGGGAAGTTAAAAAACTAATCGAATTTGTGAATTTTTAAGCAAGTTATCGTGTTTCAAACGAAAAATTGTGCTGATTGACAGGAATTATCTTTTAACTCTTTTGATATTTTTTTCTGGACTTGGATTACCAATCGTGTAATTAAATAAATAGTTGCGAAACCGGAGCAAAACAAATTTTTCGATCGTAAAGCACTATCTGATGCTTCGCATTATGACTTGTGCATTTTCAGAAACTATTATGAAATAATACGAAATCATATTTAATTTCATAAAATATTCAACATTTCCTACCAACAATTTCTTGTAGGTCTTCAGTATAATTTTGTAGAATTTTATGAAATCTTATGAATTTTCATGATAAACGTTTTTCTCGGGATGTTTCTTACCAAAAATATCTTTACCCCAACCACTAGCATAACATCTTGAATTGTCAAAAATATCATCACTTTCTGGCAGGCATACGACATCAACATTTTCAGCAATCTCCACGGGTTGATTTAAAATTAAAATTGCAAAATCGTTTCGGAGTGAACCTGAGTGATAGTCAGGATGAATGATCATTTCAGTGACATCTCGATCTTGATGAGGTAATGGCTCATTCTTAGTTTGAGTATCCCATTCTCCTGCTCGAACCTTCAATTGGCTTGAAATTTTCCTGTAAATCGAGTAAACATTTTTGTAAATAAAATATTCCTTTAAGTACTGTAAAATACATCAAAATCGGTCAATTTTCCCGCAAGATATCGCAGATTAATGTAGTTGTTCCGCTGAGGGAATAGAATAGTGTCAGAAAACTGAAATTTATTTTTCTGCTTATCAAGAGTATTGAGACACAGTTACCATTAATATTTGAAGTCGATTGACTGTCTCAATTTGAGTTATTTATAATCAAAGTTCGGATTATTAACATTACGATTAATGAGGAGTATGTGTTCTAAGCAAAGTTTAGGATTTCAATAAAACCAACTAACGGTTAGAAACTTTTAAAAAACTAACAGTATATTACTTAATTACTTTTAAAATAAAAAAAAATGCCATTTGGCCATACTCGAAATGGAAGGTAGATTTCATAGAATGAATTATCATCTTGTCTCAATAACTATCGTTTGACATGGAATGAAATTTGTTTTAACATACATAAGTAGGGTGTATTACACATTGCCTGAAAATGGTTCAATTGAACTCTTAACTTCGATAAAATAACTAATGATCATTGGTATGACTATGTTTTGACAGAGTATTAGAGGTAATTTTTTATTGTTTGTAATTTTATGTAATTCATTTGTTATTAGTTGCTGATGTTAACTTATCAATAATAGCATGATTTTATATTAATTATTTATAATTATTATTTGTAACTTTTATATTAATTTATTTATAATTACTGATTATAATTTTTATATTCATTTATTTACAATTAATTTTTTTTTGTTTTTAATGTTTTTTTAAAATGATTGTATTATTTGTCTGTCAAACTAGATACTTGAGAATGTCGGAATAAAACCGACAAAACGTCGCATAACGAATAATTATGTTAAAACTTATTTATGGTCTTTCCACCTGACCCTTACTACATATTATTCCTCAAGACCTGAAGTATATTATTATGGATTCTAATGGTGGTTTTTTCAACAATTTATAAAAGGATTTTGAAGTACGAGCATGGCATTTGGTTAAAAGGTGGGCACGAGCCTGAAGAAAATTTGCATCGGCGGTAAATAGAAAAATATTTTCGCTCGAATGCAAAGGAATAAAGTCATTCCTAACCATGTAACACATAACCTAAAATCTGTGTACTTACTACTGTCTGAAGGTCATCCGTTTAATTATATGGTAGATCAAATTTTAATTGACTTCGAAGCTTCTGTTTTAGAAGCTGAGATTAAAATAGCTCATTGGAAGTGTTCTCAACTTGTAGATACTATTAAATGTATAGAAGAAGAATTATTATCTCTGTTACCAAGTCATGTATTTTGTAATTGTAAACTAATTAACAAAATTAGGTATGAAAAAGTGTTCAAGCAAACGAAACTGATTAATATGAAAAAACTAGATGGCCTTATTACATCTTCTACAATCATAGTAAACAATAACGACCAATAAGTAATATATAATTACTCGGGAGTAGATTCGCCGGATTATGTAACTAACGTTCTTAGCCTCTCTCCGAAGTTTGGAGTAGAACTAGATATAACGGAGATTCCTATCTTAACGATCTTTAAGGATCTGGAGTTCGGGGTTTCAAGGATCAAGGTCCAGGGTGCGGATGCTAAGGAATTAGAAGTAGTTAAGAACAATGTGAGGCTGAGGGCACTAAATTCTATCATGAACCTTTACAACAGTGGAGGGAATAAATCGAAGGATCGAGCAGATTTTTGTTTGAAAAAGGATCTGATGAATATTAGAAAGTTTTTGTCGGAACATAAAGATTTGTTGGTTATGCGGCCTGATAAAGGTGATGCAACTGTTCTGATGAATGAGATGGAGTATAAGAGAGCTATGAATGAGTTGGTGAATGATCCAGCTCTTTATAAAAAGGTGAAGACATACCCGACGAATAAATAACACGTTCTTATTAACAATTTCGTCAAGAGAATGGTCAACGATGGAATTATTGATGAACTCGAGGCCAGAGCACTTAGTACTCGGAATGCGGTACCTCCTAGACTGTATGGTCTTAGGAAGGGTACGTAAAACTAGGTGCAAGATGCGACCGGTTGTGAGTTGAATTAAAACACCGTGTTATAAATTGGCGTCATTCTTACATTCGGTGCTAGTTCCTCACTAAAGAAAAGGTTTTTTCCACCCAGAATACAAAGTATTTTCATCCAAGTTTTTTATATCCAATATACGTTTTCTTAATATAAAAAAACTGATATTTTTCGCCTGAGAATACCTAAGTTTATTCTGGAGCTAAAACTTTACGCTGCGTTATCATAGCAACCGCAGCAGTGGCGCCGCCAATTCTAATTTTCCTCCAATTTCACAGTCCTGGCGTGTTGGTTTACATTATTGAAAAGTTGTATATACTAATTTATGATTTATTGAACAATTACCCAGCTGTATTACAATTGATATAAAAATTTGGATGGATTCTTAGGTCCTTAAGTACGAAAAAAGTTGCTCAAATGGGAATTACCATCTCTAAAGAAAATCTTCGAAGGTAATTGTCTTTTTTAATTGATCTTTATATCTTTTTTTAATTGAATTATTACTTTAATTTTCTTAAATTGAATTATTATAATTAATTTAATTTTCGTAAATTTGATGCTGAAGAGCTGTCAATTATAAAAATATTTATAAAAAATCAATTATCAGAAAATAATGCTACTAAAACATTTTCACGTGTAATTTTTATTAATTTTCACATGTGGAATTCTTTAATTAAATTTTTAACTGTCCGCTAAGAAAATCGAAGATTTTCAAAAATCGGAAAGTTATTGTTTTCACCCTGATTTGCAAAAATCTAGTTTTTATCAGATTTCGACGTTTTGAGGTGTCGAGTCGAGTCGTACCTATACGATAGACCATGAACGTAAGTGTGTGCAGAGTAGAATCATGCATGTATTGTACTATACAATTACATCTATATCTGTTGAGAGAGAGCGTGGGCGTACGAAATCAGATGACTATATCTATATATCAGCTCTAGCTTCAACGAGAATTTTCTTGAACAATTTCAGGAGACATCGTAGGCGACAAGTTTCGGCGGATGCGCAGAACGGTATAGCGCCGATCAGGGCCGTATAGGAAAAACCAAATTTACTCTTGCGGTAGCCAGTACCACCAGTTGCTCTGAGGCCCTTGAATCAGCAGTAATTTTTACGCAATCGCTCTCGCATATTACGCATCGTACAGTACAATTGAGATATTCTCAAAAATCACATCGTTTAACATCATTTTACTTATTATCATTCGAATCATATTCATTGAATTCAATTACTTTCGGTAAAACGCAAATTTATAGAAGTTACACGGTAATTCGGACTAACGCCATACATCCGAGCTCTCTCTCTCACTCTTTTGGGTATTAACGGCCCGTGGTTTTGATCGTGCCTCCTTGGCTTTGATCGTTTCTCTCTCACACACATACAATCTAACAGCACTCTCCAGAAGAGTCATCAGTATTCGCCTACATTTGGCAATACGCATTAAACTATTCTCACCAAGAGATATTTTATTATTCAATAGCTCAGGTCCTTCCTGACGAAATAACAATAGCTCAGGTCAGATCCTGACTAAACAACAATTACACATTCACACACACTTATTTCTTGTAATTATCATCGAGGAGGTTTTTTATCTGATCATCAGATTTTTCCTCCTCTGGGACAATAAATTTCTTCCTGTTGTCCCAAACATCAAGTGTGATTTATTCAAAATTCCTATCCATTTACACTAATAATCAAAATCAATTCTTGAAAAACTGAAGCACGAAATCTCGGCGCTTTGATGAGGTTTCGACAAAACATAAGGTCATAGGAAGCTTCCCTGACTACCCCCGTGATGTTTTGTGAGTGTGTGTGTGTGTGTTTTTTTTTTCTTTTCCCTTAGGGGGGGGGAATCCTTTTTACGGATTCTAAGCGTAGTTGTTTGGCCTGGATATGTGGGGACTCGATGCAGCGTCATACTAAAACTCGACGCTGACGCCCCTACCCACTAAACTCTAAAACCCCTTTCTTTTCTACCCTCTGATCTCCCATGGAAACCGCCGTCAGGCATTACATCGTGAGGGGAGGATCTAGCTACTGCTCTTTCTTCTAGTAGCTAAAGTGTTATTCTTTCCTCCTTCTAATTGGCGTCATTTGCTCTTCTTCTTTCTATGGACCGCAGATCTAAGAGAACTCCCGTGCATTGCTGCTACTATTGTCTCTGGTTGGATTTTCCTCTTCAGGATATTCTCCAGCTCATCTCGCTGTGAGTAAAAACGTGGGCACTCAAAGAAAACGTGCTCTGTATCTTTATTGACTCCTGGGCAGGACGGGAAATCTGGGGAATTATCATGCTTGAAGCGGTGGCGATACGCCTGGAAACAGTCGTGTCCTGATAACATCTGTGTAAGATAATAGTTGACCTCACCGTGACTCCGGTTTAGCCAAACGTTGATCCTTGGTATGAGACGATGCGTCCACCTACCCTTCACTGTGGCATCCCACTGTATCTGTCATCGACTTATGCTCCTCTGCCGCCCTTCTGTTCAAAGCTCTTCAGCGAGTAGAGGAGCAGGGGGCTTCCGAGACACTGGTAAAGTAGGAATCTGCATTACAGACCGAGTGGTTCGTGTCTATGCTAAATTATCGACCATATGTCGGCCCTTTTTTGAATTTTTATACCCAACATTTTGGCGCCCTTTTTGAATTTTATATCCGCCATTTTGGCGCCCCTTTTCGAATTTTTATACCCACCATTTTGGCGCCCCTTTTTGAATTTTATATCTACCATTTTGGCGCCCCTTTTTGAATTTTATATCCGCCATTTTGGCGCTGCTTTTTTGAATTTTTATTCCCACCATTTTGGCGCCCCTTTTTGAATTTTTATACACACCATTTTGGCTCTCTTTTTTTGACCTGGTGGCCGCCATTTTGACCATATCTACAACCCTTTTACCGCTATTTTTCAGCTACATTTTATCCCCACCATTTTAAAAACTAAATTGATGACGCAATCCTTACTGCGCAATTTACCCCCACTTTTTATCGTGTATTGTGGTGGGGAATCAATGAAATAAAGTCAGCTCGCGACCGCGAGATCATCATTCAGTTTTTGTTCTTGAACTTGAACACTTCAAACCGAGCTGTGGAAGCATCTATAAATATTCACCAGGAACTATTTTTGGCCTATAAAATGGATCTACAAGAACTTAACAAAGTCAACTTGTCATCAGGATATCTGCCCACAAAGAAGATCTACGATTTGGAAGAGGGTGAAATCTACAGGATTAGCCAGCTGAAAACAGTACCAACTAAGTTTGGATTGAAATACATCGCAATAATTGAATCGGAATTTCAAATTTTTTTTCCCGCTAAGACTGTTAAATACTTCAACACTTATGCTGACATCTTTACAAAATTATCAGAAGTTGCAGAGAGTAATTTTCTTTACCTACACTATCATCAAAAGGAAAATAATCTGTTTGAGTTTGTAATAAAATCTTAAATTTACAATAATAAACAATTTTAACATAAAAACTATGATTTTCAGCCTTTACTTATTCGTCCTTACTCAACTTTATCAATTTGTTTTAATCAGGCTGAAAACTTGCATGAAGGTGAGAACAAAAGCCTGTTCAAAATGGAGCTCTTAATAATAAGATTTAGAGGTGTCTGTCCCTAATTTTTCATTTCCCATTTAAATAACATAGGGAAAAAATTTTTTTTTTGTTTATTTTTCGAGCTCGGCACACGCACCTCATATAAATCAGTCCATAAGATATCCTTGTAGAGAATTCAACGCTCTACAAAAAAGGTCTCTTACACTTTTATCATAAAGACAGCCGTTTTAAAGTTATTTAGACGTAAACTTCTAAATGTATAAAATTTTGATTTTTCAAGTATTAAACTGATACAAATTAATTTATTACTGTCTTAAAAATTATTTTTATATGTAAAATTGGTTCTGATGCGCTAAAATTTTCATAAAGCTAAGAAAAAAATTACTCATGCATCAAATTTTTTTCTTCTTTATTTCATTTACTGTAAGAAAATCATGACCCGAGTTGAATGAATTAAATTTTTAAAAAGTTTCACGGAATTATCAATTTATTACTTTACACGGAGAGAAAAGATAAGTTTGGAAAATCAAAAAAGTGCACGTGTCATAACGCTCATTTATCACAAAAAAATCTGGAAAACGGTTGACCTTAAAGGCCATCCCTGCAACTTCCGCTAATTCCATATCGAAACGTTTAAAATTGCACTTATGAGATTTTTGAGCTTTTCGAGTCAAAAGTCTGATAAAAGTTTCAAAGAAAACTATTTTTTGAACTGTTCAAATCACTTTAGTCTAAGTGAGATTCAATCAATTAACAGGAATAACTGAATCTACTACGTAAACTATTCAAACTGCGCTAAAGTTCATAAATCTTGTCAGCAATATCATTAGATTGTCCCGAAATCGGAGTGACATGTCCAACATAATTTGATTCTGATTCACTGATAAGAGATATATGTTCTTCTTTCACCGTTTGCCAAAAATATTTGGAATCTTTCTCTACTTTAATAAGAGTATTATCTTTTCTTCCGTCAAAATAAATACCTTGAAAGTCAGTTTTTTCTTCTTTAATTTTCTTTAAAACTGTTTGAATTTTTCTTTTCTCTCGTACAATCTTACTTTTATCGGTAATTAATTTCGTTTCATTTTTAGTAATCAATCCAAAATCCATGAAAGTTGACGTTACAAGAGCTGCAGTAGCGCGACTACTGATGTTGTATCTTTAAGAAATAAGAGCGGTTTCTTTATGTTTAATCTTGAAGAAGTTGATTTTTGTAAAAAGTTATTTTCACTCATCGATGTAAAAAATGTTAACGTATTTCGACTTAAATTAGAAATGTTACGAATTAAGCATT